TTGTTATTTTACTCGTTTTGGATGGCGTTTGTGTCGCCGATCGCGTACTGAAGCAATCGTCGACGATCCACCACCGTGTTCACGCACTTGAGGTTTGCGCGTCGGTAATTGCGATCGTAAAACGACACCTCTCCGTTGCGATCTAGTCGGAACAGCGAAAGCGTGCACGGAGAACCGTACGTTTGTATCCCGTTCTCGAGCAGATACGTACCCAAATGCATCTTCGTCTCGTCTACGACCAAGGCGTTGTCAGCGATCAAGAAAGCCGGCGTATTGGCCAGACAGACGTTCATGTCTGGCGGAAAGGCGTACGGCAAGTCGAACAGTAGCGCGATCGATTGCGTGAGCGCCGTGCATTTGCGTAGATCGAGATGTTGCAACTGATTCGAGTTGGGTTGCGTCAACACCAGATGGATCGTGTAGTCCTTGTCGATCAGATTGCTCGACACATAATTCACGCAAGCAGACGTGTTGATGCGTATGATCGGATCGATGTCGATGTGGTGAGTGCTCGTCTCGCTGTTGCTGCACGCAGCTTCCATCATTAGCATAAAGTAAACTTTGTGCTCGAGCACGATACGGTTCACATCGTCCGGCGACCGCTTGTGGCTCGAGTGCGTGAGCGTGTAGTGCAAGAGGCCAAAGTTTAGGCTTGATTCGAGATCCGTCAACGACTGGAACATCTCGATGATGGGGAACGCGCGGACCAGTGCAGCGGCGAACGGCATTGGCATGTACGTCAACAGTCGGTTGTATTTGATCACTTCCATCTGATCGTTGTTCATTACGGTCACGTACTCGCCGGTCGATTGTCCGTTGAACAAGTGACGTACGTGCCACGAACACCAGCAGTTGCGATTCAGGCCATCGGTACAGTAACCGAGCGGTTCGAACCAACAGCTAGCCGGATAATTGCGCTTCGACACGGGTTTTATCATGAGCGAGGAGTTGGTGGCCAAGCTCGATGGTTGGTAGAACGATGGATCTAACGCAGCCATGTCTTGTTGTTGTTGCTGCGGCTGTTGTTGCTGCGGTTCATTGCGATTCGGTATATTCGCTCCACCGAGACGAGGATTCGCTAGATTCGTTCGAACTCGTTGCAAGTCGGTGGACACGTTCCGTTGTTGCGTCGCCATGACGTGGCTTGTCGTCTTAGTAAATGGTGTGAGCCGTCAATGGGTACCGCGAAGAAAAAAATTATGTGTATTGTGCGTGTGTGTGTGTGTGTGTGGGTAGGTGGGTGATGTGATGTTGGGTAGAGCGTTTAGCGTTTAAGCTTTGGCGGAGCTGTTACCGTTACCAGCTGCTACTTCGTCTTTTTTCGCAGGGTTGGCGGCGGCTGGAGCTGCTGTCGCGGGTGCCGCCGCAGAGGAAGAAGCTGCGGTTGGTTGTGCCGTCGTTGACGTGGAAGCCGCAGCCGCTGGCTTTGCTTGTTGTTGCGGACTGTTGCAATGTCCGCTGCCGCTGTTGCTCGGCTCGTTTGTACCCAATCCAAACATTGTCAACGCTTTGCCCATCAAGGTGGTTTGCGGACGACTGCTGGAGGCTGTACCACCGTTAGCGGTTCCGGTTCCGCCGCTGCTGGTATTGCTGCCGCCGCCGTTGCCGTTGCCTTTGCTGCTGTTGCCACCGCCGCCGCTGCTGTTTGAACCGTTAGCCGCGAAATACCAAATCAAGGCGATGATCACGATGATCACAACGACTATGACTAGGTAGTAAATCCATGAACGGGAATTGTCCATTCTGTGGTCTATATGCGCCCGAGTGTGCTTGTCGTAGTATTCGAGCACGTAGACAATCACACGCTTAATAGTATGATGCGTGAAAACGGTTTCGCTCAAACGAATCTAACGAGCGAATCGACAGGCGGATCGAACAATTTGTCGATCATTGCCTCGATGTTCGAATCCTCGGTGCTGCGGACGTCGTACTTGTACCTTGCGAACAATCGTTGATCGTTGTGCTGCAACGCCGACAAATTCCAC